AGTGACAGCTCCGCAGGCACACTGGTGACGCGCATGACAGCAGAAATCACCCACATGCAGGCAGCCTCTCCATGCCGGTGGGGCAAAGCAGCAGAACATGTTCCAGAAGCACTGGCTAGCGCTGCTACCCCCGCAACCTGAACTGCTGCCCGCAGCACCTCGGGGAGATAGAGCTGTAAGCACCACGTTAAGGCACAGCAGTTTGTGCATGACCACAGCAAGAGCACGTGCCTGGATTTGCGCTTAGGCATTTCAGTTGTTCCCTCCCTTCTTGTACCATCGTACTGAATTTTAGACAGACTGTGCAGAGCAGGTTTTCCAGCACCTGGCAGTCTACACAGCGCAACATGGGGCACAGCTGTACAACGAACACTGTGAAGCAGCTGCAGGGAATCAGTGGGATTAACTCCTGGGGTCCTGCTACACAACAGCAGAAACAGCACAGAGCATGCGTGCCAAGGAGCTGTGTCATGCGCTGGGGCTTTACACCTTGGGCGCTCCAGGTGACACCAGCTTTGTCTTAAGGCGCCCATCATTTGGTGCGCAGTCACCATGCTCCGCTACTCACTGCTGATGTGTATCAGTGCTCATGCTAACATGGGGTGGTTTTTTTTACTATTACCCATTTTATATTGCAGAGAGAATAGGACTGGGTTAGGTTTGGATTAAAAACGTTCAATCCTTATTGGTGAAACTTCAACTCACATACATCTTTCCAAGAAAAAAAAAAACAAACCCTAGTTTACACACCACCACTTTACACAACCAATCATTTCATCTAACAAGAAAAACCTGAGACAAGTCAAGCACCTTGCCTTCCCCAAGAGTTACAGCAGGGGCAGGCAAGGTTTCCCTCCATGACTGTAATGGACACACACGTGTGGCTGAGGTGAGACTCATCTGACTGACCTGGGCGCACAGGCAGCAAGTATTTTAACTGAGATTTTGAAACCCAGAACTGCCAGGCACAAGCTGCCAGAAGGGCACCAGGTTTGCTGAGGCGGTACGTTGGACAAGTTTGTCATCGATGTTCTCTAGCTGAACAGCAGCTTGTAAAGCTTACTACGCTATTTAAATCTGAAGTTCTGCCTAAGAAACAGCAACCTCAACCTTTAAACAAAAAAGCTGTTCTAGCAGATGCCGACCGTGACAACTTTTAAGCCCAAATTAACAAATGATCTATGCAAGAGAATAACTGAAAGTTTGCAACCTGACATGCATCCACACACAGCGTTGCATTTTTTCGAGGCAACCCAGCTTACGTTTCCACTGCTTTCTCTTTTCATTCATGACTCCCTGTGAACTTGCTCGGTGTCGGCAGCAGCGGGAGCTCTCCCAGCAAGCCGGTCTCCAGGAGGCCTGACCTCCGACGCGCTGCAGCCTGGGGTCCACAGCCAGGAGTTGTGCTGCCCTCGCACAGCAAACACCAGGAGCAACAAACTGCATTGACATGCAAATCATAGGTTATGCATCAATCAAGATATCACTTTTATTAACTGGATTTTCCAATTCTGTCGCACACCATGAATGTTTATACAATGAAAAAGCCAAACATTGCTGGAAGCAATAAGATCAGCTGATCTTTCTGTACCCTCTTAACACACACGCGGACTCTTTCTTGGTGAGAAATTTTTATATTTCTGTTCGTTAATTCTGCTTATTTATACTGCTACTCTTAAAATTCTGTGTCAAGATTGTCACATCTTAAATACAGATTAAGTTGCTAGAGGTACATTATTTTTTTATATATATTTATATACACACATACAGAAAAATACAGGACTAATTGTTTTTCCACAATATTTAATTTATACACTACTGTAACTATATGCAACTTTTAAAGACACGTTAAGGGGTACAAGAAACTGTTTACTTGCTCTAAATAGTTTGGTCCAATATTATCTTAATGTAGTGGTTATTCTCGCCCTTCCTTTTACGTGACAACATAATACGACATACACCACATGCACAGTCATTCACCTACCAACACGTGGATAAGGGACACCACTCAGACTGACATCTGTACACCCAAAGGTTCAACCAACCACGCACAACTCTAAGGCTATGATATAACTATGCAGCATAAATGGTCAACACTGCCGTTCTAAAGTGAGCACCATATATACAGTTGTATATAAAAACATTGGAAACAAAATACACCTGGGGTTAGTTAAAAGGTGCCATTCCAAGGCTGTACATAATATCAGGAAAGAGTATTTACAATACTTGGAAAAAAAGCTGCAACAAATAAGTTTATTGCCAATGCCCTTTATAAACTCGTCTCCTACTCAGATGTTACGCTCACTGTCTGTGAACCACACATCTCATTTCTGGCCCTTGTAAGATCCCTGCTCAAAAATGTCAAGCAAATATGTTCTATGGCTTCACCCACACATCTATTCTTGTAGCTTTTGATTTATAAATATCACGCTGACTAAACTGCAACTAGAGTTTAAAACTTAAAGAAGTAAAACACTTATCCTTTGCCTTGCTTAGGAAGCAGAATGTGAAATCCCTGGCTAGGCTAGCCAGTGGGAATACCCCAGGCAACGTAGACTCTCTTAGTAAAGTCTTTTACTAATCAAGAAGAGCTGTCATGAGCTGCAGAAATTACGACCAAGCGTAACGCCGTTCTTTGGTGCTCTGCTCACCCTGCGGTGGACGTGAAATGCGCTGCATTTGACCATTCCGCAAGTGTTGCAAGATGCTCAGCAGTGTAAACTCCTCTCAGACATCCAATGTCTGCCCAGGGCGCTGCTACATACTACCACCAGTTTCACTAGCATTGCTTAGAAGACCCAGTGCACAGCATGAAAAAATAAAACATTCTTGCCCTTCCCAAAACTAGCAATCTGCAATATATTTTATTCTAGATAATAAAATTCCACAAAGTTAATTCATCTGGTCAAAAGTATCCTTTTGTACAGAAATACTCTAAATCAAGACCTTGCCATGGCAATGGGAAACCCGACAGAAAGGCTAAGAGCTGTAAAATAAATACTTTCCTATATGCTATTTTAAACTGACTTTATGAAAAAGCATGATTACTGAGGGAAAATAAGTGGTGTACATGTGGGGAACAGCAGTATTTTAAGTCTTAAAAAGAGTAATAATGAGAAAAATGTAAATGACAATAACAATTTCAATTTGAATCCAATTACCTAAAGGTTTTCCATCCCTTATTGCCTTTTGAAATCTCAGGGAGGAGAGGAGAGGATAGGGGAGAAATATTACAAGGTAAAAACCTAAAGTATTAAGTGTCATGATATACTAATAACAAAAGTAATTCATACAAATACTTTATTTTCAGTTAGCATGTAAAAACTCAGAAGTAGACTTAATAATTTACCTTTGTTATATTAAAAAAGATTGTCTGCTTGTAATATTAACATATTTCTATGGGAGAAAGCTGCCTTACAAATCTACTTGCCTTTTTTTTTAAAAAAAGAAAACTGCCTCTAGCAAAACAAGATCTTTTCAGTTTGATTTTTGAGCCACAACTTTATCCATATCATAGCTTAAGACAAATAGGTGTGGGTTTAAAATCATATTTCAAGATCACTAATTTTCAGTGCATCTTTGCTTTGTACAAGCCTTGGAACATCTGAAAGCTCCCTGAAGAGTTTTCAGCATCAAAACATTATTGCTTTGGTTCTGTTTCAGACACATAGAAGTATGCCACATATCACATATTTTAGTTATCACAGAAGGTCAGAACAAGAATTAACATTTCACAAGCAAACAAAAGCTTCTCTCTCTAGTTTAAGTGCAGAACATGAAACTTCTAAGTGCTCCATTTACATTAGGATCCAGATATTTATTTTAATTTAATCCAGATCTTCCATAGTAAAATTATAAATGTAAAAACTACACAATAAAATATCCTGTTTTGTTGAAAAAGAAAAACATACCGGCTAGCAGCATGCAAAGACCATGCATTGTCATACCATCAAGCAAACACAAAATTAAAGTGTAATAAATAACTGCTCAAAGCCCACTTAAAAATCTTAAGACAACAAAAGGGGGTCTGGTGACAAGGTGTTCACAGCTCTGAACAGGAAGAATGATGCTGTCAAGTAGATCAAGCTATTAAAATCAGGTCATTGTCAAATGACATGACAACAACTGGTTTGACTGGAGGTACACAGCAGCCCCTCCTTTGGGTTCCGCTGAATATTCACAGATATCGTCTTTTCACAGAGAGGTAGTTGTAGCACATTGTTTTTCAAGTTCCTGTTCTTTATCCGTTCCAATTCGTTTGCTGTGTCTGACATTTGGTCAGAAAAAAATTTTAGCTTGCCCAACGATGGAGCCTGGTTTGCGCTTCCGCTGGAACTTATACACATTTTCCATGTTGATTTCTCCTGTACTTTTACACTGGAAAAGGACAGATTGTTTTGAGGATCAATAATGTATTTAGTGCTGCCATGAATCTGTGAACCTAAGCAAAGGCTCATTAACTTCAGGCTTTCAACCAGTTCCCCTGCACTTCTAGACGATAGCTGCATTGAGTTTCCAGATCCAGCGCACCTACGAGTGGAACCTGAAGTGTTGTTGGTGCTACCACTGGAGCTACCGGAGGGACTCCCCCCACCTTTGTTGTTATCACTTGGGCTCGTTTTGTCTACCCCTCCGTTGCCATTACTTGGTTTGCTTTGTCCACCACCATCTCCTTGGCTGCCAGGTGGCCCTTCGCTACTATCTCGTCTATGCCAGGAGTAAGTAAACCCACTATCTTTGTCTAGGCGTCTCCTGCTTTCTGAGTCGTCATCGCTTGTTTCTGAGCTACTGCAGCTAGAGCCCCGTCCCTGGCTTTTCCTCCTGTGATAGCGTTTATGTACTGTGCTAGGTGAAGCAATATTCATTTTTAACCTGCTGAGCTTTGGGGGTAAGTTCTCGTCCATGTCAAACTCGTCATCTGACTCGCCCTCCTCAAAGATTTGATTGAGGACTGGTGCGCTCTTTCTCGAAGTAAGACGGTTTGTAACTGAAGGCTTACGGCGCAGAACAACTTGAGTAGAAAGAGAAATAGGTTTCTTATCTTCTTCATCCTCCTCTTCATCTTCTTCTACTCTAAACAAGCACTTCCGGCCACTCGTAGTGGGTTTTAGGCTCACTGATGGGACTGCTGAAAGTGCTGGTCCAGCTAATTCAGGGATATCTTCTTTCTTTGCTGAATCGCCAAGGGCCTTGCTTCTGTGGCCGTTGAGAACATTCTCAGCCGTGCGAGCTGGTGACTGAGGAACAGTTGCATGGGAGAGAGGAGAAGCTGTAAGGTCATCCTCCAGATCTTGGGGTACATCGATTTTTGTTGGCCACGATTGCCTACATAAAGAATTACAAAGGATAGAAGAAAAGTTAGAGCATTTCAGAACATGTAAGAAAATGTAAGATCTGCACAAGAGAAGCACAAGTACTGCCACACAAATTGGCCTGCTCAGTGGCATGTTTGTAAGTAACAGTACTGAGTAACTGAGGAAAAGGAAACATTCTCGGAGAATGTGCATTCCTTTAGAAATGCTGTTATTTGAAAGGAACATCAAATATACAAAAGTATAGTTTAGAAATTATGTTGGTTACTGTCAAATGAAATCTTAAGATTTCACTGCTCTCAGAAAATGAATTAAGCAATAAAAAAAACTTTAAATAACTGTGTCTCAAAGAAAATAATCTGAAGTAGGTATAGAACCACCGGTACCTAGAGGAAGATACGAGCCAATTCAAACACAACTTAAATAAGATAGTATTTCAAACTACTTTTAATCTGAAGCTTCTGTTATTTTTTTCCCCAGTATTCTTAATATAAAAATTAGGTTAGAATTAACATGAGTGAGACTGAAAAGTTGAGTCAGAAGAAACATTCTCTCATTTTCAGTCAGTCTCATTCAGACCAAGCTCTATTCTACAAAATCCCCTTTAATTTAAACACACATGAAGTGAGATCATACATTTATTTGACCTTAACTGAGCAACTGGAATAATACAGCTGCATGAATTCAGGACTCAAGCTGCTTAAGAATATGACACTTGAATAAATTGTAAATCAAAGTTCAAAATGTATGACTGTGTACTAGCATTAGCTCACATCAAAATGAAAGTAACACTCGAGTGTAAATCAGTTCTACAATTAGCAGCTGATGTCTTATCTCCAGTATTTAAGCTAGTATCTAATGATTTGTATTTTACTTTAAATCCTGAAATATATTGTAATTTTCCCATAATGCACACAGAATAAATTAAGAACAAAGACTATCAGTCTTTCCTCCCTCTGTATTTTGAAAGCCTAATGTAAAAGACCAACACCTACAGACCAACATCTTAACACTGAATAATTCTTCAGTTCCTTCACTCAGCATAAGCCCCACATTTCTTGTGGAGACCAAGAAATTTTTTCTAACCTCTCAAAGTAAGAGTTATCTTTAAGTTGCCAGTCCCTTAACTTTACATAACTAAAATACTCTAGCATACTGCATGGAAAGCTGTAGTAGAGACTTCTGTTCACATATGGATAGCATATTACAAGACATTCCCAACCGTATTTTGGGTCTGCCAAAAGAAAGGACTGCATGACTTTGTAGCCCAGTTTAGAAGCAAGGTGTAGGAGGAAAGCAGGAGAGGAAGCAGAGAATGTTTCACAGCAAGTGGGACCCCAGATATCTGCTTCAACAGCCTGCATACGAAGACAGAAGGATCATACCAACTTCCTGATCTCTGCTGTGTTAAGAGGTCAAGCTGAAGAAACAAGGAAAGCTCACATGCCTCTTTGATACTCTTATTCTAAACGTGTTCTTTTTAAATGTTTAAAGTTAATGGAAGCACCTGCAATAAGGCTGCATTTGTTCAAGGGTCCCTGTGTAATGGCTGGACAGAAAAGGATCCTGAAGTGTGAGATGCCTCTCTACACAGGTAACAATTGACCACTATCTTCCCAACTGTATGAACTTTGAAGAAAAGTATTAAAGCCAACATTAAACTCATCAAGCGTAAGTGCAGACTTTGTTTTGAAATGCTAGCTTCAGTTTTGCTTAACAAACCAGCGATACAAAAATCCACCAGGATCCTCTAACAGTAGGACCCGGATGCCAACACACCCGTGTGAGCCTGTGTAGTCCATTCCCATCTTGTTGGGCACTGGGAGCTGCTGGTGCCCTCCCACCAGCTTCCCTCCAGTGAGCAGCTCTGCCTGAGGGAGGCCACACAACCAGCAGCTCCGACCCAAGCTGTCCAGACAAGAAGTGGCGCCTAGGCTGTGGTCCTCCTTGGTTTGACACTGGCATCCTCCCTTAGGCCCCAGCTGACTCCAGAAACACTGGGAACCACTGACCTAGTTTCCTGATGACTTGTGCTATGCTGGGTATTTTAAACACAAACAACTGTCAGTGATTAACAAGTAGGACTTAAAGAAATTAGAAACATAACTACAAAAGTGACAGAAAATGAAGACCTAAACATTTCAAGAATTTACCATGCTTTAAGAACAGACTGGTTTGTCAGCAAAAAAAGGAAGAGAGTTCTGTGGCTGCCACAATAAAGGGTAAATATAGTATCTAACAGTACTGTAGTTTCCTTTCCAGGCAATAAACCTCCTCACTACAGTATGTTTATCTCTCATAGCAGCCCATGTTTGTCTCCCTCCCCTTATCCCCAGTAGGCCTGAGGGGAGAGTGGGACAGAAGCGAAGCTCCAGGTTGCAAGTAAGTTAAATTATTTTTTTTTAAATCTTTTGAAGTCTCAAAATCAAAGTAATGTACTACTTTGTCATCTTTTCCATGAGGTCACTCTATATAAACACTTTGGATTTAGAACCATCATGAAGGAATAGCTACCTGCGACCATTAAGGGCAAGAATTTCTGAGTTTACACAGATGTCCTTGTCATGAAAAGAAAATTCATACTCATAAGGCAGGCTTCTACTACGCCATTCAACTTTACAAATTCATACCAAGATTTAGATTCAATGAACTTGTTTGTTCCAGTTCCTCATATAACTGGAGCAGCTCTTCTACTGAAACAGTGACACTGATGCAGAGAAAAAAAAAAAAAACAATTTAAAATCAGACTTTGTAGTTCTAGAATTTTCATTTGAAGGTAAACTCGAAGTTTTCCTGTGATTTGTTTTATAACTAATACTTAGTATTAGATATATTTGGTGCTCTGCTTGGATTTCTTTTTTAAAATAAATTGACATGAAATAAGAGGATGATCCATTAAGAGAGAACTGCAGAGTGAAAGTTACGGTATTACCCTTGAAGAGAGGTAAGCTCTGTAACACCAAGCTCCAGACCATTTAGGTTTGTAGGCAACCCTTAGTTGCCTGCAACAATAATTCTTCTAAAGCACTTGTAACCATGCAACAAGATAAAATTTCCTACATAAGTGACCACTGAGTGAATGACCTTTTAAGTGCAGCAACAAAATTTCAGCCTAGTACACAACACAGAGTGCAGTCTCATCTGGAGATGACAAAGATGTTGAGAACCACTGTAAGGTTCAGAGGGAAACAACTCATTATTCAGGTAGATGGAGTGGTATTTGGAAGAGACTCCTCTAAAAGCCTCCAAAATCTCAGCCTAAATCCAAGGTAACAACAAATGGAGGTGATATATCTTTAACCTATTTTCCAAAGTGCGTGCCCTTAATTTGTAAGTGTCCTTTTTTTCCTAGATTGAACTTGAGGTGGTAGTACCTTACTTTTATCAGTCAGGCCAAGGAAAATATGGATATGCACCAGAAGGACACCAGAGCATTTATGTCCCTATTATCATTCCTATTAAATGATTTCACATGCGACTTCGCATGAAAGTTGCACAAAGAAACCTTTGGAATGAACAAGCTATTTTTAATTTTTCTCCAAATCCTACTGATAGATTAACAACACTGAATATAGACAACAACTCTAAACATCAGCACAAGCACTTAATAGTCTTCTCTCATTAAGAGATTACTTAATTGTTATTATTAATTGTTATTACTTAATTGTTATTATTGCTAATAATAGTTACCAATAATAATTTATCAAAACCTAAAAGGCAACTTTTGAAGAGACCAGAGGTTAGAGAACAAAAATTAATGGAAATGCCTCAGCACAACCTCCATCTTCACTGGAAAGATTGTCAAGATGGGCCAGTAAACATTTTTTTCAATACCAGCAGATCCCTAATCATAGTCTAACACTTAACTCAGGAAATTAAAACCAAAATGTTTAAGAAAAATAACTGTTCAAAACATGCATCCTCCAATATCAATATGCAGGTGGAAACTATATTATTTGCCTTGTGTTTGTTTGGTTTGTTTTTTTTTTAAAGCATATGCGGCTGTAACTGAAAATATGGGATGCTTTGATAATTGGTTGCAGAGCAAATGGACTGGTTGAACATATCAATACCAACCAGATGCCAGAACCCCACTTCCCCCTTTAGTTTTACTGTGTCACAAGCTGAAGCTTTGAAAATCTCAGGGAACCTTACTATAAGGTTTTTTTAATCATTTTTGTCAAACTTAAAAAAAAATTCTCATAGAATCATTTAGGTTGGAAAAGACCCTTAATATCGAGTCCAACTGTTAACCTAACACTGCCAAGTCCACCACTAACCCATGTCACTAAGCACCACATCTACGGGTCTTTTAAACACCTCCAGGGATGGTGAC